TTTATAATGACAAGGAATTTGATTTAAATCTTATCAAAGACGGAGTACATCGAGATGAAATACTAGATTTAGTACGGAATTATAAGCCGAATAAAATAAAAACATCTGCCCTGAGATTCTGGTTAATTGCGCGCCGCAACATTCCCCCCTTACCCCGCAGAACAGCCTGAAATTGATAAATAGGTTTCGGAATAGTTAGAGAAACAAAGGATATGCCTTTATCTATTTTTTTATTTTTTTCAGCAATTCCACTTTTTGTTTGATAGACATCAAAACATGCTTTCGCTTTGTAGAACCTTTGGCATCTCCAGAATTCGAAATTCTTTTTGACATAATCGAAAGTTCAAGCTTGCTTTTATAAAATTGCTCTAACAGTCTGCAAAAAATAAGCAGGATCCAATTAGAAGATTAAGGAACAATGCAATCTGCAACATTAACTGAAATAGATAATTTTAGCTTAGCTTATACTGTCCATTATACATTAAACGCGCATGCGTAAAAGTATTATGCGCGTGCATAAACGCATATGTGCATGCATAAACGCATAATGCATTTATGCATGCGCAGAAAGTTTGTAGCTTCGAGGTCCGGATTATAGATCATTCTGGATTATGGACGTCCGGATTATAGATCATTCCGGATTATTGACTTAAAGACTTTTGACTGTAGTTATTATATTTATGGTAGTTATAATGCTACTCAATAAAATTTTAATCAATCTTTGTAAATTTAGCATTACTTTTATAATTGTCTTTAAATTGAAAAAAAAAATACAAATAAAATATTACATTACCTTCAAACCAGCTGATTTATTTGGTGTGTTAATTTCTGATTGTAGCATTATTGGAATGTCCTCTAAAAGTTCTTTTTCATGTTTATCATTCTGAAAAAGCAATGATTACTGCAGATCTGCTAAGGCTTCAAGGTCATTTGATTGCTGATTTCAAGGGCTATTTATGTTTTTATTTGTATAATTACTGGAAATCAAAACTGTATTTATTGATATGTATAAGTTATGAGCAGGACTCTCAAAATGTATTTTCACATTCCAAGAGAAAGCAAAAGCATAGCAAGTCGTACGCTGTTTCAGATCAATGTAAACTAGTGTGCAAAACTTCAGCAACTTTTCTGATTTTGCCCGTAATTCCACAGAAAATCAACTAGGAGACATGAAACTCTTACTACAAACGCACGATGTAGTACAGGGTTGCCACACTACCTGGAAAATCTAAATACCTGGGAAAATTGGGAAATTTAAAAATTGACTAAGAAAGTCAGGGAATTTAAATATTTTAGTCAAAATCTGGAAAAGTCAGAACTTCAGATGGCAAGCTTCCCAAAAAGTGATTTTTACACGAACACTGGAAGCGATCACTTTCTTTGCGAATTATTGAATTGGAAGTTGATCTCTCAGCACTATCCTTATCTTCAGGGCAGATGTTTCTATTTTATTTGGCTTATAATTCCTTGCTAAATGTAGTATTTCATCTCAATGTACTCTGTCTTTGATATGCTTTAAATCAAATTCCTCGTCATTATAATTCGCTTCCGATAGTGAAGAAAGTGACACAGAGGTTATTGAAAACGAAAATATTTCGATTGACAAAGTAGTTTGTATTCTCGACACAGCAATTATAGGACTTGAACAGCGGAGCTTTGTAACTGAACAAGAAATTATGTCTGTTTATAGAATTAAAGAGAAAGTATTATCACATAAAACGAAGCAACTTACATTGAAAGAAATGTTTAATAAAGTAAACCAATAAATATTAAGCTTCTTTTTTTGTAAATTTTGATACCCTTTAGATCATAATTGTTCTTTATTTCATAAATTACGGTTTCATGTTTTTAATTTCTGCATGCCATCTTACTAGGTTTAAACTGATGATCTATAATCCGAAAAAATTCGATAATCTGGAATCGAAGTCCCGACGAGTCCGGATTAACGACTTTTGACTGTATTCTCTGACTACTTTTTAAAATTTGAAGTATATCCTGATATACAGCATGCCAGCACCATGTTGTTTTCAAGTCAACATATTTCTGTACCTGCTTTTTGTTATTGTAAGTTGTGAAGAAGCCTGTTCACGGAGGGGTGTTGACCTCCCATAAATGCTTTTGGTGGCTTTTTACAAAATCTGATTACTAAAGAGCTCAACATGATTGAAGTTGAGCTTTTTAGCAGCCAGATTTTCTTTTTAAAACACAATGGTCAGAATTTGGAAAATGCATAATCTTGCTTACAGAGAACAATATAAATATAATAATAAACTCAGTATTATTACCGATCCTAGGTGCAATATCGGTTTTGATATTCCTCTTCAGTAATAATTGTTTTTAAATGCTTCATATGTGTCTTGTCCTTGAGTGTGTTTTCTCAAAGTTAGTATGGTCAACAATACTTCTTTCATGAAGAAACCAGGAAACTTCTATCTCATGAATGTCAGAAGTTGCAGTGAGTAACATTAGTGGATTTACAATAAGCTGCCGGAGAAAAAATGCACATTTTTCCACACCAGATCACATTTATATGTAGATGTCTTTTGTCATATCATCCACTAGTTGTGCCACTGTGTTTCATCACAATGACACATCTTTAGTAGTGAGATTATTTCATTTTTGTTTTTAAATTTGTGAAATGAAGACTCTGGCATTTCCAGCCTAACTTCTTTCACAATGGCTGCATCAAAATATTCCTTTTTGTGTGATGTAAGAATGTAACTTACTTTGAAGGATGCTTCTTTGTGTTTCTTTGCTTCATTTTTGAGGACAAAAAGACTGCTTTTAGCTTTTAGAGAAGATTTCAGTGATTGAACTTTATGTAAAGATCTGAGTGGATATTTACCATTGAAATCCTTATAAATGATTTTATGATGATGTCAATATCCTGTTATTTTGATACTGCTACTGAAGCACTGCATAATAAACAAATTGCTTTTTTGCTAATGTTTGCAGATAACAGTTCTTATTCCCATTCATTGTTGAAGTACAGAGGCTGTTCACACATTTTTTAGATGATGTATATTATATTCACAAAACTAAATTACATAAAATTCTTATGTTTTAAATGTTCTATTTGACATCTCTTATTCTGAACTATCTTTCAACACCGCAATTTCCAGAATAATAATGCCTTTTGAAGTGGCAGAAGAGTATTCTATCCCATTCCTCCCGAACAGCTTTCCAGAGTTCTGTTAGGGTTTTGGGACAACGTTTAGATAATGCAGTTTTTAAAAGTCTGAAAGCACAAAAAATCCATAGGTGACAGACACATTGGAAGATTTAGTAGTGATATCAGTTAAGGGTATGGCCTTAATACCAGTTTTTTTTGTTCCATTTCTTCTAGGAAATTTACAGTGGATTTTGATATGTGACTGCTAGCTTTGTCCTGATGGAGTCTTGCAGATTGATGGCACTGTGGTATTTCATTCAGAAAAATTGGCGATAAAATATGTTCCTGGTAGTATTTGGAGTTAATCTTGACATTTTTTTGCACTCTCTTTATTTTTAACTTGCCATTATAAGAAATACCAGCAACAATCATGAATCCCTTAGAAAAACTTTCTTTCGATTCTTTGAACCATGTACTTAAATTTTTTTCTCCCCTTTTATGATAATAAATGGCTCTTTTTTTTGCTACAATCATTTAAGTACACCCATGCTTCATCTATTGTGACAATTGTTTTCCATTTTTCTTTGGATAAGTGTTTCTCATATAGAATTCTGCAGCGTGTCCTGCGTTGAGCGATATGCTTTGGAAGAAGACGATGCACATTGCGTTTTTTCACTTTCTTAAGATTTAAATCAACATTTATCATTTTGTTTATAGTGGACATCGAGCATTTTAATGATTTTGCAACTGTTCTTTGACTAGGGGGATTTTCTTTTAACATTGAACAGCATACCTTTGCAATAGTCGAAGATGTCTGTTTTTTCCTTGGATACTTGTTTGGAATTTTTGTCCCACTTGAGGCTGCAATTTGACATTTTTTTCCTTTCTTGTTGATGATATTACCTATCGATGCTGTAGATATCACAAAACCATGACTCTCATATTGTTTTTGGATAACGGAGTATGCATATTTCTCTTCAGAAAGAGCGTAAATGTAGCCTTAGAACCACTGCTTTGTTAAATTCGCCCTTTTGAATAAAAACAAAACTTGCAAGCCGCTTACCAAAATCGTCCGCTTACCAAAATTACCGCTTACCAAAATCGTCTAAAAAATGTGCGAACAGCCTCTGTAATAGGTTTTCTTTCGCTTCGATGGCACTAGCATATCCCTTATGTCAACAAGCACACCACAAAATTATTTGAACTTAACTGATGGCTATTGACCATGGATAATTGATCATTTGTGCAGACATGTAGTGGAATCGGCAGTGAATTTGTTAAAGCAGGCACTCTAATCCTAATCTGCAATGCAGGTAAAACTGTAGAAATGAGACAGTGAAATGCATGAGTTGGTGAACACTAATGCAATGCTCTTCTACGTGGCATATAATTGTACCTTTTTTATGGTAGTTTTTTTATATTGGAATTAGAATAAAGTTTTTGTCTCGTGACTATATTGTGACTGTTGCTGGTGGGTGCCTAAAGTTAGAAGAGAAGGCTACCAAGCACCTGTGAGCCATTGGTTGAGCACCGCTAGTATACAGTGTTCAGGATGGCAGGTAAATTAGCCACCTTTATGGAGCCATCGGCAACAGTAACCTGGGACAGCTATTGTCCAGTTTTCAACCTATGTGCAGCTGGCTTGTTGAATCATAATTTTATAGTAAATAACACTCTCAGAAACACATTAATATACATTTTAGTTAAATTTCTGTATGAAAACAGTGGGCGTTTTATATACTAGAAAGAGTTCATTTTATATTATTGTTTATGAGCTATTTATTTTTCTTTTTTGCAATATATTTGTTTTTCTATGAATATGTTGTAGTATATTAATGCATATTTTTACTATTTAATTGACTAGACTGTTTTATTTTCTGATATTTAGTGGGTCTGCCATGTGAGAGAAAATATTAAATATTCTCCAAAAAAGATGTGGTATGTAGCTTGTCTGGTAAGTATACACTATCTTTTAAGTTTCTTAACTTTCTATCTTTTAAATTAACTTAATTTGTATCATCTGCAGATCATAAATGCTTTAAAAATCGCTAATTACTTAATCCCTATGAATTTTAGTTTATGCTGAATGTTCTAAAAATTATGGTTATTATGAAGTTCATCAGAGTTGCAGATATTTTACATGTCATTTGACTATCAGATTATATATCAATATTAATGTCTTATTTAAAAGAAAAAATGACTGTTTCCATGATTGAAATGTGATGGCATTTATTTAACAGTGTTTATGGTTACAAAACTATTTTCACTCTTTTTACTGATACTATATATATCAGTTCGCAATTATTTGAGTTACATTCAACCAAATATTTAACAATTGCATCTTACAGTTATGACATCAGGAATATTCCTTTCTCCTTTTTAAAGTCCTAATCAATTACTTAATTTCTATTATTTGCATTATATATCCATTAATTAGTTACAACTTTGACAATTAATTACCCTTATAGTGATCAGTAACTAAAATAATTCACAGCTGGATAAAATTGCACAAAAATGTCTAGTAGTAGAAGAGCTAGAATTGAAATTGTAGGAGGTAGAATTCAGATTTAGATGAAGAACAACTGCAACTCAGGATCAGGTCTGCTATTGATTAGTTCATGTGAAGGACAAGAGCAACAGCTATACTGCAAAAAGACTGCCACTGTAGGATAATTCATTGTTAACTGATCTCTCTGTTTCAATTTGTCTTTTGATGCCTGCTGCATCTTCTTAAATATTTGTTGTATTTGCATTTCTTAGAAATGATTAATTTTAAAGGAAAGCAGAATTTAAAACAAGAAATTAAACTGTAGATTTAAAATGGTAGATAAAGGTGCACATAAGATATTGATTGCTTGAAGAAGTAAAAAATTAAACTGTGTGCCTTTTGTATATATATTAAAAAGAAATGTTTAAGTAATTTGAAGTGTATGCTGTTGATTTATGAAGTTATCATATATAACAATATGTATGTGAATTCAGATTTCATGTAATGCTAATATATTTGCTGAAAGATTTAATGTCATTTTAAATGCTTGATAAGGAGCTTTGCGAAAATGAAACTGTATCGGATTCAAGCAGAAGTTGCCAAATTACTGCATGCCTTTTTCTTGGCATTCTCTAGGTTACCATCTTCAGCTAGAACTTAAACTGGAACCCAGCAGAAATCATTTATTACTTGTGTTGGCGGCAAAGGATTTTGAATGATCCTCTATTTTGCTTTTAAGTGGTTAAGATACCATTAAATCACAATACTGGCAACGTTTTGGAATGAAATATTGTAGCTGGAAATCTTGCATTCAAACTATTTGTGTTTCTAGGAAAATCGTATGAAACAACTCCAAAACAAACCATGAATCTCAAAAATAAGATATATATATATATATATACACGTAAGGTTAGAAAAAATCTTCCTAGTAATGTAAATTAGCATAATCTTATGAATGTATAGGCAATACTTGAATCAGAATTAAGGTAATCAAACATTCTGAAAGCTCCACCGTATTTTTAAACATTTTTACTTGAACAAAACTTTTAAAAGCTTTATTTACAATTCGCCTGCTGAATTTTCATGTAGTGAGCTAATTTCTTTCTGGCACAAATCTTGGAAGTTATTAAAGATTGTAAATTACAAATTATTCATTCTTTTAATTTTATGTGTGGCAAATATACAGATCAAAGTCTGGTATATGTTTTGATAACATTATTTATTTATTTTAAAGTTATATCAATTACGTGTATTTTAATATGAAATGTCAGAATCATTGAAAATTTCTGGATTCAAAGATATGTGAAATTACTAAGTAATGTTTTCAGTAAATTGAGGTCACGTAAATAAGGGATCTGAATTCTCAAAACAAACACATGTGAAATTGGAAGCCTTGTACTATAGTAAAAGTCCAGAAATCCGCAAAGTCCAAATCCTATGTCCAAATCCTTGGGACAAGAGGTTGTGCGGATTTTAGGATTTTGCGGATTTCAGGACAGAAAAGATAAAGCATAATATTCGGACTAAAAGTGCAAAATAAATAAGGCATATTAGATACATTTAATTAAATTATTATATACATTATTGCAATAATTTATTATTACATATATAAATTGATTATTTTATTCATTGTATTATATGTACACAGCATCGAGGTTTGCTGATTTCGCCTCATGCAAAGATTTCCGGTTTCGGATTCTGGTGTTAGAATCACAGTTGCTGTAAAATTTCAACAGCTTTTTATTTTTACGTATATCATACACAATTGTGTCGCAATTCCATACCATTCTGCTATAAATCGAGGAGTAGCACCTGCCTCCATCTTTTGCAAGAATTTGCACTTTTTGCGTTACCGTCAATGCAACATGTTTACCTTTTTCAACATTCCAAGAAGTAAAATCATGAGTGTGTTTCTTTCTGTCATTGTATTAAAAAGGGCTGAAATTTAAAATATTCTTAATTTATCCACAAAATATCAGGATAAAAAAAAAAAAAAAAAAAAAAGGCAGCACTAAACAATCTCGTGAAATAACAAAGCTCAGAAAATACAACAACATGAATCGTGAACTTGAATGAACAGTTTAGTGAATCGTCTGCTTTTTTACCTCGATCCAGAGATTAGAGAGAAAAAAAACTTTTATCTTATTTTTTAAAACTTTTTTTATGTCAATAATTTGGTATTTCCATTATGACTCATTATCGTTTGGTAATTATTATGTCATTATTCGGTAAGTATTTTTTCTTTGATATTTCGTACTCAATGTTGCGCTTTCCGAAACCTATAAACTGAATGTTTATATTTTGAGAGGCAACGTGGATTTCAGGAGTTGGCGGATTTCAGGTCGGTGGATTTTCGGTATTTGACTGTACCATATTTCTTTTGAACTTGAAATACATTGGTATAGAAATTAAGAGATATGTATTTGTAAAATTACTTTTTACATTCATAGTATGTTAGATCTTGCTAATAATATAAATTAACTGAATGTTGGTTAAAACTGGATGATTTTAATTAATAATTTAAGTAATAATGTACATTAGTATAAATGTAGTTAAATTTTGTTATACAAGAGAATAGCAATTAGTTATGTTTAATAAAGTTGAACAATTTTTTTGATTGTTGTTTTTGTAAACATTAAATTTCTTAGAAAAAGGCAACATTTTCTTTTATTTTTATGATTGCCCTTGTGATTTCAATTATGTAACTACAACAATTAGCAACCGTCACAGAGTATCTAACAGCTGTATAATTCTCTTATTTTTCACAATTTTAAGTTACAATCTGCTACCTTTCTTGAGTAATTAAGTTTTATATTCTGTTATTAGATTTCTTTTTCATAGGTGAGAGGAATGTCTGTTGATGAAGCTATAAAACAATTGTCGTTTGTTCGAACGAAGGGAGCACATATTGCAAAAGAGGTAGTATTTTTGGAAATTTGGTGTTTTTAATCTGTTTTGTGTTATTGCTGTCTAAAATAAAAATCAGTAAATTTATGAAAAGAGACTGTAAGTAGATAAAATATTAAAAGCATGTATTGGGTTTTAGGTAATTGAAGAAGCACAAAATTTAGCTGTCCAAGAACATAATGTAGAATACAAAAGTAATCTGTGGGTTGGTAAGTTACATGCAAACTTGCAGTTCGTTATATAAGAAACTTGCTCATTATTATTTTCAAGAATTAATACTCGAAAAATTTAATAGGGTTACTCACTAAATTAACATTTTATAAATCATCTTTAGATGTTTAGTAAACTACTATGATGCATAATTCCAACTTTTTTTAATAATCATGGTCATAATATATACGTAGCGTGTTCGGAAACTAAGTACCGTTTCATTCTAGCGCTGTGGTAGGCGTTCCACGCATGCGCACTAGTCTTTCTTGTTCACTGACTTTCAATTGTTGCCATTTCAGTTGCTCTATGTTGTGTTTTCAGTTTGCTGTGCACATTCAAAATGTTTAAGACAATTAGGTCTCCACTGACTGTGAGATTCGTGCCGTGATTAAATTTTTGAACGCGAGGAATGTTAAACCGACCGAAATTTATCGTCAAGTGACAGAAGTTTACGGTGATAAGTGATGGAATGGTGAGAAAGTGGGTAAGAATGTTTAATGCAGGTCGAACAAATGTCCACGCCGAGGCTCGGAGTGGTCACCTTTCTGTTGTCACCGATGATTTGGTAAGGAAAGTTGATGAAGCAATTCATGAGAACAGACGCTTCACAATGACAACTCTTTCAGAGGCATTTCAACAAATTTCACGTACTGTTTTGTTCGAAATTGTGTCTGATCGCTTGAATTATCGCAAACTGTGTTCCCGATGGGTTCTAAAAATGCTCACTGATGTTCACAAAACAAAGCGACTTGGTAGTGCCCTGACATTTCTCGTGTGGTACAATGATGAGGGAGAAAACTTTTTAAACCAAATTGTGACAGGTGATGAAATTTGGGTGTGTCATTTCACACCAGAATCGAAACACCAGAGTGGAGACCATTTCACACCAGAGTGGAGACACACTCATTCTCCGAAAAAACAAAAGTTCAAAGTGACAATGTCATCACAAAAAATCATGTGCACTGACTTCTGGGATAGGAAAGGCGTTTGCTTACTAAATTTCTTCCCAGAGGTGAAACCATTAATGCGGCTCGATATTGTGAGACTTTAACAAAACTAAGGCGTGCCATTCAAAACAAACGAAGAGGAATGCTCAGTAAAAGAATTGTGTTGCTCCATGACAATGCTCGGCCCCATACTGCTGGTGTCACTCAATCGTTAATTCGACAGTTTTATTGGGAGCAGTTCGATCACCCGCCGTACAGCCCGGACTTGGCGCCGTCTGACTGTCACTTGTTCCTGCACATGAAGCGTGAGCTTGGTGGCAAGTGCTTTGGATCTGACGATGAAAATAAAAATGCTGTGTAGTTATGGTTATCGAAACTGGCAGGAAGTTTCTTTGATGATGGTATACAAAAACTGGTCACCCGCTATGACAAGTGTTTGATCATTGGCAGAAACTATGTTGAAAAATAGTTTAAGACATGTATTTTCATGTAAAAATAAAATTGGATTCGAAAAAATTGTTTTACTATTTTTTTTTTTTTTTCAAAACGGTACTTAGTTTTCCGAATACGCCTCGTATATATATATATATGTATGGCATATATATATATATATATATATATATATATATATATATATAATATATGCCATATATATATACATATATGCCATACATATATGCCTACATATATATTATATATGTAATATATGTATGTGTGTGTGTGTGTGTGTAAGATGAAACACATATATAAGTCTGAATTAAAATATAAATGAGCCAAAAGCCCTTAAATTTCACCTTTTGGTTTGGGCATTTCTCCCTCTGTATTCTAAAAGTGGTAATAACTTTCTCAAAACTGTGTCACATCTGAAAAACAAATTATGTAGTAATACACTACCCAATATTGAAAATGTAACAACCAAGAAGGAATGGCCAGAAGTTGATGAAACTTGGCAAACGAAGAGACACAGCAATGAACAATAAGTAACCTTTATTTCAAAATGATATGCATAATAAGGAGTAAGAACTGAATAGGTTGTAGGACCAGCTTGGATGGCATTATGCGAAGCAACATGTCTAGATACAGAGTCAATGAGACAATCTCCTTTGGTGTGTATTAAGGAGATTTTTAAGTGCCATAATATACACATTAGCAAACTAGATTGGGTTAAATTCTACTCAAGAATGAACAAACAACCCCACTAATTTGTTGCCACATGGCAGTGAGGATGAACTTTTTTAACTCAAAGTGTCAAAATTCAGAAAAGCCCTAGCTTAACTCTGGTGCTGTGTCACATACAGAATCATCCATCTGTATGATCTGATAAATCTGTATGATCAGTAATTTGGCTCTGTTGCTGCATATCTGCTTGGCACTTATCTCAAACCGAAACATTCTGAAATCCAGGCGTCCATTATCTGGAATGATCTAAAATCCGGACCTCAAAAGCACCACCAACGTTTTTCTCATAGGCTTTATGCATTCACATTTGATGCCTTCATCTGTGTAAAATAAACTTCACCTGTGATGATAAAACATCTCGAGAGTCCCGATTCTTAATTTCACGTTGACACTAAATAAAATACCTTGTTATTGAAGAAACGGTCATTTTAGTATAAATTTGTATGATCAGTAATTTGGCTCTGTTGCTGCATATCTGCTTGGCACTCATCTCAAACCGAAACATTACGAAATCCAGACATCCATTATCCGGAATGATCTAAACTCCGGACCTCAAAACCACCACCAATGTTTTTCTTGTAGGCTTTACGCATGCACATTTGATTCCTTCATCTGTGATAATAAAACATCTGAAGAGTCCCCGATTCTTAATTTCACTTCAACACTAAATAAAATACCTTGTTATTGAAGAAACAATCATTTTAGTATAAATTTGTATGATCAGTAATTTGGCTCTGTTGCTGCATATCTGCTTGGCACACATCTCAAACTGAAACATTCCACATAGATACATGGTTGATCTTATGCCAACCTGGGGAATCATTATTTATTATACTTTCCTTTCATTGCCGCATGTTTATCAAAACATGACAAACCTGAGTCACGTGTAGCGATGCCTAAACAGTTAATGTTAGTAATTGAATAATAAAGGAGTATGGCAACCTTTTATGTTGACATTACGCTTGGCGATGATTACAGATTTTAGTTAATGTTAAATGCACTAAAAGTGTTGACAAGGAAAAATTTACCAAACATTTCTTTCCATATGCTAAAAATAGATTTTGTTGGTGATACTCATAAACCCAAAGATTACATTTAGGGCTATTTGAATTAAGAATAACTGATTTGTTATTCACATAAACTCAGAACCAGTGACATGGCTTCGTATGGCCGCAACGAGTCACAGAATTTAGGACCCACAGAGATTGCATCAGGCGGTAAGATATCAGCACCGGCCCTCAATAAGGCTTAAGTATATATGGGAATTTATTTATTCAGAACTATGATAAACCTTAAGCATGTGCAAGAAATAGACATATGTATTATAAGTAACTCTATATAACTCAGGCTTAATTGTCTCAGTGCACGATAGAAGAAAGATAAAATTTAAAGGAACAACTTGTCATTAGTCGCTCAGCTCATGATGCATAGCCAGTGATAGTGAAGGATAGCTAAATTTGATGATGATGCATGCTAATTTTAAAGGTTTTCGCATATCGCAAAACAAAAGTGAAATTTTTCAATTAACGGATTTTGTAAAGAAATGCAGAAACGCGGTAATAAATAAAGATGATATAATTGAAGTTTTTCATTGCAATGACAAAGCTTCTCAATCTTTAATCAATTTATGAATGGCAAAATCTGTAGTATCCAGAAAATACCGCTACCGATAGTGAAGAAAGTGACAGAGAAGTTACTGAAAACGAGAAAATTTCGATTGACTAGTTAGTTGGACTTCTTGAAACAGCAGTTACAGGACTTCAGCAATGTAACTAAACAAGAGATTATGTCTGTCTACAGAATTAAAGAGAAAGTAATAGCACAAAAAAAAAAAAAAAAAAAAAAAAAAAAAAAAAAAGCAACTTAAATAACTTACATTGAAAGAAATGTTTAATAAAGTAAACAAATAAATATTAAGCTTTTTTTTGTAAATTTTTGATACCCTTTAGATCATAAATTCTTCATTATTTCATAAATCAGGATTTCATTTTTTACATGCCATCTTATTAGATTTAAATTGATGATCTAATATCCGGAAAAATCCCAAATCCAGAATCGCCGAAGTCCCGATGAGTCCGTACTTTGTACTGTTCTAGACTCAATAATAATTTATTACCTTAAAAACAAAATAATGCAAGCAGAATCTACTAGATGACTTTTGAACTAAAGCAAGGAGCATAACAGCTTTAAAGCTTTGTTGTAGAAGAGTAAATATTTAATTAAAATTATAATTATTATTTAAACTACCACTTTTTGTTTTAGAATACTATCTTAAAACATTTAATTTCAGTGAGAGTTTACAATTATAATTTCTCAATTAACATTCCAAAATGAAATATAACAAGATGACGAATAATCACATCCAAACGTCAATCATTTAGTTGCCAAAAAGCATGCTAATTAGAATCGCTGTAGTTATTTCCTTGTATTAGCCAGAAATTCAAGAGCATTGGGCTGATGGCTAATGGATGATATTCAGATATTCTGAGCAATACACTTATGTATCAAAAGTTATTCATGAGATAGAAATTCCCAAATGACCACTCACCTGGAATTGTATTATTATTTAACCATGACAGATTCATGTGCTGCACTTGTACAGTTACTCAGAATGTCAGAGTGGTGGTCATCAGCTGCCAAACACACAGCACAACAATATTAGTCAATGTGTACACAGGGATTGCTGCATGTGCCATTATGATATGATGAATGGCCTCAAGCATAATAAATTTCATATATCGGGTGGTTGTAATTAAACTTCCCCTATAAAAGGCATCTTACAACGCAAACAGGTGAATGGAATGCAATGAAATTTTGTATAGGGCTATACACGAGATGTGCTCGCGGAATTTCGAAAAAAAGAATTAGTTCCA